ATGTATGTATGTATGTATGTATGTATGTATGTATGTATGTATGTATGTATGTATGCATGCATGTATGTCCCGGAATCCAGTTCGGAGAAATGGGCAAAGGTGAGGATTGAGTCGAAAAAGATAAGCCTGGTGCAAAGTAGTCAATCCACCGGGGGCGGATTGTCCTCAAAGTGAACGGTACTTTTCATATGCATTGATACATAAATCGATCCAACGAGGGCGTATAGGTCAGAAAAAAATGAAGGGAGTGACAAAGGTTTGACACGTGCTAGGGGTGCGTAACTATAGCGAAGCCTCACCTACGCTGGGCATTACATATACTTGTAAAATTGCTCTAGAACGCGGGAAAGGCGGTCAAAGGGAACCGGAAATGTAATCAAATCTCCAAAGTGGGCGGTGTTTGCACTGGGGTGGGCAGGGCTAATCTCAAGAATTCACAACTCTTTCTAAAAGTGTTCTATAAAGCGGAAAAAGCTGGCCTGGAGCTATCGTATACCTCTTAGACTGCCGGCTGAGCGGGCCGGCGTGAGGCAGAGTGTTGTTCTTGAAATATCTGAAGAAATGGAAAAACAATAGAACTTTGCCTTCATGTATAGTTCTTGAAGCCACAGTACTCTAGCCACAGTATCTAATATCCTCTTAAACGTGGTAGATAAAATTTAGTTCACCACAGTTCCCTTACTTTGAGCTGGAAGCTGCTTTGCTCCTTTGAAACCTTTATACGAGGAACTGCGAGTTTATGAAGCGACTGGCACATTGTCCAAAGAAAGAAATGGAAGCTAACTGAATAATTTGTTATAAATGATTTTTCCTTTTTCTTCTCTCTTAATGGTGATGTATGAGTTTAACGGCGCCGTGGACTAAACCACACAAAGGTTTTCGAATTCAACACTTACATATAATACTTTTCAATTGGAAAACGGTCTTAAAGTTGTAGATAGAAGTTACCATTGAAAATTGTTTCCATTTCAAGGCATCCGGGACCGTTCTTCTGGATCCCTGTCTTGATCACGATATTCAGTGCTGTCGGGCTGCTCAGATTTTACGAAGAAAATCGAATATGGTATTTATACAGGTAGGTATAATGATTAAAAAAACGCTTCTCATGCGTACAGTCATCTCTTTCAAGTCCTGCGAGAGCTGATTCGCATTATGAGCATGCGGTCGCCAACGAGTTTTTCAACGATCGTGGAGGAAAGTTTTGGCTAGAGGTAAGGTTTTCTTTCTACTGGCCTTCGCGTGGCATTGATGGGCTGGCGGGTTCGTGAGATTATGTTGAGGTGAAAGCTCCCTTTTCGGCTTGATTGGATATACGACAGTTGAAAAGGGAACAAGTTAGTGTTCTGTCGCAAGAGCAGAGCATCACAGCTATCATTCTAATTTGTCTTTGAAAAATCAAATACTTGGGCATTCACTTGGGGAGGGCGTTATCATACAACCGAACAAAAGGCATTGTGAGAGAACGGATTAGGTCAACTATATAGAAAAGATTGCAAGGATCCGACTTCCGTAAAGGGGCCTATTTCCCTCTAGTTTATCTATAGTTGACCAAGAGTTAAGCCATTCAAATCGATGAATAGCTTCATCTATAACATCGTGAAGCTTGAGAATCAAAGGCATTCACTGTCGTCCTTGTGACCATAGGTTTGCTCGTGCGAGCTCCAATAACCTCTCCATCCTTATCTTCGCAGCCGCCATTGCAGCCTTGTGAACCTACTCGCTTGAAGAACAAAAGGCGAAGCATTCTTCTGGCCGTGCTAACCTTCCCCAATAGTAATCCGTCGATAGTTGTATCAGCCTTCGAGATTGTTATTAAGACTTTATACACGGCTTAAGTTTCGACGAAATCGTCTTCGTCGGAGCCTGTAAGTCGAAAATATCTTTGTGATTCGATTGATTGGGTTACCATTTCAAATTACAAGAAGAGCATTCTCAAAGGAAGCGGAACAGCAGCGATGAACTGACATGTGATCGAATGGATTTCCCAGTTTCTTGGAAGTAGGGTAAAGTGTAGTACCGTTAAGTAGGGAAGACTCTTGACCGATTCACGATGTTTTCTGCAGAGTTATGATTTTGCATAATTTCCTCCCGTTGCACCTTACCTCAAACACCTTGCTCATCCTGAGGGGTTCTGTTTAATACTTTCGCATCTTCCAAGGCATAAGAAAACATGCCTTTAAGGCCATTTTCCTTCTTCACCTAATGGAGATTCGAAACTACCCACTTCAAACTGTTAAGCTGATTCTTTCCAAACTTCTCTCAAGTTTTACTGAATTTCATTATCCACACATTCGCACATAACACACACTAGTATCCAAAACAGGGTGGTACAAACATTAGAGAATATGTGCTGCCTGAAGTTTCTCTTTTTCACTAGCTGCCTGGTGAGACATTACTAAATAAAGAAACACCTGAAGTGTATTCTATTCATTTTTCTCTAGAAGCTCGAGACGTTCGAGTACAACCTAAAAAATCTGTTCTTAAGAATATGCAATTAGCGTACATCTATGGAAAGTGGTTTTCCATAGGATTCAGCACTATGTGAATATCTAGGTTACAATAACTGCTCGTGACATGGGGAATCTTTTGCGCAAGAATTATTTCGACGAAGTGGAAGAGCTTTCAAATTATCTTCAAGTGAGTCGTTCTGTCATATTGTTATGAACTCAAAATTGACAATCCATATACCATCTCAATCGCTTTCAGTATAATTTCACTGCAGAATGTTCTTTGAGAGGGAAGAGCAGGTGCTCCTTTGCTGATCTGTGCACAGGTATCAGTTGCTCGGAGAATCAAGTTAGTTTCTAGGTTTCGGATTTTGAACTTTGCTATCTGCAACTATTACATTTTTGCTATAACATTTTATCCTCAAACTTACTGTAATCTTTTTTCTTAGGAAAAGAGCCAAAAGAGGCTATTACAAAGATCTATCCGAATTCTGATGGGCTTTGTTTCAGGAAGAATCATGAAGCATAGTATAGCTTCCAAGGTGGAGAAAATTAGCAGAGTACGGAACTTCTACCGAATTCTCACGGCCTGCGGCAGTGGTTCCGCGGCGACTCTCCGTATCCGTGAATTGGGGATTCAAATCTTTCCCTTCATAGCGCATGATCGCATGCGACGAGCGCGACACGCCGTTTGGGGAGAAGATGCCAGACCCGAAGTTAGCATCACCCCAAGGAAATGGTCGCAGAGAGCGCGGAGGTTCGAAACATTTCGTTCTGCATCGGTCATATAAGGTGCGGAAGAGCAGAAGATCTTATCGCAACCAGTACCGAGCGAGCAGGGGGTTTATTGGTATCTAGAAAACCTATTTTTGATTCAATCGAGCAGGATTCGAAAGGGAGGTGGATTGTCACTCTATGGAACCAGTCCAGCAAACTGGAAAACTAAACTCTATGAACGTTCAAAGAAGTTTCACATGGTCACAAAGTTTTACGGAATTTCCTTGAAGGGGTATGCGGACTTGGGTACAACCATCCGGTTATGGCCCAGGTGCAAAAAGATTACTAGATGCCAGAAAAATAAATAGAACAAAAAACCCAAGCGTCATTACTCTCTGCTTATCTCGTCATTAATTGTGCAAAAAGTAAATGAATGAACAGTAAAACAAGTAATACGAATAGGAAAAAAGTTCGGACACGGAATTTGTATACCCTCACACTTTTGTGTTTTATAGGCGTACAGGCGGCCGCATGAGAACGCTGATGGAAGGGGAGGCCGACCCATCCACAGGGGGCGTGTGAATGAGGGAATGGGATGGAAATACTAATGGTAGGTGGCAGGGTTGGACTCCGTGCGAAGGGCGGGTCGTGCGAATTAAAACTCGGTGGGAAATAATAACTTCTGTTTTCTAGGAACTAGGGCGTCCGAATGTGGTAGGAGTACATTAGGACACTGATCTTGTGTGGTAAGAGGTGATTGAACTGGGTCCTGACCGCAGGGGCATAGGGCGGATGGAGCGGCGGAGGGTGAAATTAGCGTAGAAATATGTAGTCAAGTTGGGATAAGTGAAGAACGAACCAAGTTATTCCAACACATAGGGCTTGAGCAGGACTTCACTCTAGTGGGTTGGGCACGCACGAAGTGTGTCGGTGTGTATTTCGCTGAAATTATATAAGTCCTGTTCTCTCAGATCTTGCTTTCAAATTGGGAAAAAGCAGGTAGCGGGTCAACTTTCCCACGAGAAGGAAAGAGAGCTCGGCGGTAAGCGGACGAGTTGACTGTTGCTTGACGAATCTATCAGCAAAAAGTGTGGACGCAGGCATTTGGGCGAGTAATGCAGTGAATAGCGGGGTAATGGTTTAGCTGACCATCGGTGCCCATGCTCAGGCTAGGATTCTTTTCCGTGGGTGGGAGCTTTTTTCTACAGGATAGCGGGTAAATAGGGGTCGTTCTTCTGAGAACTTTTGGTAAGGTTAAGATAGTAGACGCTAAAGTTGATATCATGGGATGCAAATTCTCCCCTTGTCTGTGTGAAAAATTTCGCTCCGTAGTTACTTTTCTGATACACAGCAGTGAAAAAGAACCATTAATACGTTCGGATCTTTCGCAAACATTTCCTTGAGGTGTTTCTTCCTTGTCCCAAATTATGCGATACGCCCAGAGTGTTTCAAATTCATGTCCGATTCGTGCATGAGTATGTTCCATGCATCTGAATAATATACCATTAAAAACCGTATTTTACAAATTAGAGATGTTGCAGTATAGCTTCACAAGAAAATATGTCTTACATCTTCAGCAGACCCCTATAGAAGTACGTATAAACAGTTTAAAATGCTCGACTTAGTTTTTACTTATGCGAAGAAGGAAAATGTTATTCTCATAGTGCGCAGAATATATAGTATAGTATGACACCCATTTTGAAATGATTACGAATATTTGTTCGTTCGGGATTCAAGTCATCACAGTCAATTATAGTGCTATATTATTAAGGTAGTGCCACTTTTTAACCTTATCTATCGAAATGCCTCTTCACGACTTCATCCGAATTTTCGACTCACTTTCCCGACTATGCACCTATACAATGATGAGTATTATGTTGGAGAGCATTTTGCTGGAGTGAAAATTGACAAAAAGACGAATGTGTGAGTTGTTTAGCGTTTTTGTTTGAACAATCTGTATATGAAGCACGAAAATTCTCTTTCAATAGTGGTTTTTTTCAGTATTTCATCAGTCAACGTTGTGGTACTGTATTTTCGGACTGACAGGCAGAACGAAGAAGTTGCATCCAGTTTGCAATGGTGAGCTCTGAAATCAAAAATAAGTATGTTTCTCTTCTAGTAGTATTCATCGTGGGGACTTGGGTGTGGGATATAACTCTCTTTCTATGGCGTGACTAGACAGCAATGACGTTACGTTTTGATCTGTTGGTAGGCAATTTTCGAGCTGGCAGGGAAGGCCTATACATTCTATCATTAGTGAATACAGAAATTGAGATCAAGTTGGGCTTCTATTTACGCTCCTAATTTTGAGGAGTGGATAGGAGAGGTGGGAGTCACTAGGCTGGATTCCACCAAATGATATCACGTCACTTTTGTATACACGTAGTCACCCTCGTGAGAGTTGCTCCCGCTTTTACAAATTCGATTTCTTGTATCTTTCGCTGTTTGTATGCGACCTAACCTTTTCAAATCATTCGGCGTTGCGAGTGCGACGTTGCGCACGAAGATGTGTAGAAAAATGCAGCATAAGCAGCGCCGCCAGTAAGGAAAATAGGATTAGAAGAAATAACAGTAGATTCATGCCAAGAATAATGTCGCATATCGATCGAGCTGTATGAAGAACGCTAGAATTGCAATAACGAAGCAGCTAGTCCGCGACTGCCGCGTGCGGCGAATCAATTACACAAAACTGACTTAGTTGCCCTTCCTCCCCTGTAGGGCCCATCTGGTGGGTCTTTCACATTTTCAGAAGCCTATTATTTCAGGTGGGAGAGTCGCATGTTTGATTATATTGAAAATTTTCAACATCCTGTGCTCAACGTCACTTGCAATAGTGATGCCTTAATCGCCAGAGAGGTAGGAGAATTTTCACGGTAATGAGCTTCACGATCTCACTTTATTGGCTGAGGACTCCCAGATCTATTTGTTCCTAGAAACTAATAAATGCGTCAAAATCGCCTAGGAATGGTTAATATTTTCTGATTTTCGCGACGTGGACAGCTAAAAAAATGTGAAAGTTGGATTACTAGCTTGCCGACATAGTACTGAACAAGTTACCACCAGCATTTTCAATCACCTCCCTCCCCTTTGTTTTAGATATCTTCACGCCTGTGACTTTGATGATCTGCAGAACGCACCTTCTGTTCCAAGCACCCTCGACGGGCGTAGTCATAAGGGCTTAAGTGCGGCGAAAATTAGAGCCATTCTTTATTCAGGATGAAGCTGAGCAATCTCTGCGACATTAAACTTGAATTTTTTTCACTTTATAAGTGGATGGGGAGTTTGTTGAGACGTCCGATGTTTGTTTTGTGATGTGTTTGGTCTCAACGAAGCATGCTTCTCCAAGACCTCACTAAATAATGTCCCTTTTTGATCTTGATGCCAGATCCATGAAAAAGGGGGTATTTTCAGTGGCACTCACGCCATCCGAAAACAAGCTAGGCTGGATGGGAGATACGCAAGACGATCCATTCTCTCGCGTTCGATTCCTCAAATGACTAGGCAATCGAAGCATTTTTTGAAAATCGGGAATGACTTTTGCAGTCAAATGTTTCTCTGAAGAAGACCATCCTGTGCGTCCATAGGGTCTGGCGTCTTCTTAAACGGCGTGTCGCGCTCGCCGCACGCGATCGCGCGCTATGAAGGGGAAGATTTGAATTCTCAATGTAAGAATGCGAGAGTCGCCGTGGAACCGCTGCCGCAGACCGTGGGGGTTTGGGAAAAACTTCCGTTACCCGCGATCATGCTAACTTTTTATGGTCCCCGTGCATAGACGTCAGTGATGAGAGCGCAACGGAGGAAGGCTTCGTTACTTTTTGGCAAACGCAATCAATCGAGACGAATGTTGAAAAGTATGTTCAAAATGATAAGCAGAACGAGATCAATCATCTATATCATGTGCTATACCTTCCTAGAAGGAAATTCAATGCTATTAAAACCGTCCCTGGGTAGTCATGGCGCACTGTGTACGATTTGATTCTTTTACCCACTTCAGAGCCAATTTAGGTGCGCAGAAATGGGATGTCTTGCATTCCATACTTCGTCGTGTCAGTAATGCTTGTGTACAGTTTCATACTGATTACGAATTATCGCGAGCATTTTCCGTGCTGTCATTCAGTCTTCATGGCTTTCCTTGGAGTTGCTGGACCACTAATGGCTGTTGGAACAACGTCGGTTCTCTGTTGATTTTCTAGAATTACTAGCTTACCATTGCTTCAATGAGACGAGTTAAAGTTATTAATGAAATTCTTCATGTTATAATCGCGTAACTTGAACTTTTGTGGTCGTTCACTGGATCTTGAATTGATTCCATGTTGAGAAGGTATTGGTTTGGGTTATTTCCCAGGACTCCTAATGACTTGAACTTGTTGACCTATGCTACATCTGCCTCGAGAGAAAAAAGCCCACAGATCAACAGATGTTCCTTATAGAGGGGCAGAATATTTTTTTTCGTAACTCTGTCATAATTGCGGAGCCCAATAGGAATCACCACTCTGTGTACTCTTTATCGACTTTTTTGCAAAGTACTTCAAGAACACAGAAATAACTAAAGTTCATGCAGTTTCCTCAAAATTCATTCTTACTAGTTCTTTTGCTAACGTGGGCTTGTGGAAGTGTTCGTTATTTCCAAACGACTGACATCAAATTAAGGTTTTGCTCGCTATTCCTCCTTGGGTTCCCGTTCAACTCGATCACCCTTGTGATGCCATTTTTAATTATCGGTGTTGGCTCGGACGACGTTTTCATTATTATTCATGCCATGCGCAAAACGAATAAGAGGATGTCTCTTGAAGACCAAATCGGTAAGTGTTCATACATTATATGTTTGGATTTGAATACCATGTTCATGGTGTCACTGTATGACGCCGTATACTCAGTGTTGGCAAACAAGAGCGTCACAATGAAACGCTGAAACCCGAGCAGTACTCTTGGTTTGTGTGTTTACTGGAATTTCTCAATTTCATTTTTTTGTAGCGGTAACTATGGAAGAAGCTGGACCATCTATCACAGTCACATCGCTAACCAATATCCTCTCGTTTGCAATTGGTATTTTAACACCAACACCTGCGATTTCCATTTTCTGCCTTTACACTTGTGTCGGCCTTGCTGTGGACTTCGTGTACCAGGTGAGGGTTTTTCACTTGCATAGATTTTGCTGAACAAGCAAGGAAAATGGCACTGCAATCTTCACTCGTCCCAATTTCACTCTTACCTGTGATGCTAGAATACTTATATTGCTAACAGATCTTTCTTAGCTCACCTTCTTTGTGGCAGCCCTCGTCTATGAGGAGATTCGGATTACTGAGCCAGAAAAACCTCCTATCTCGAATAAGGCAAGCTCGGAGGATGTCGTGAGTAGGCTTCTTCCATTCGATAAACAGTATAGCCCAAGACCCACATAAAGAAGTTACGGAATGGTACATTAAACTGTAAAATGACGACTGTGAAAGACAGACCGTTCGAAATTGAACAACCATAAACGCGAATAAGGAGTTTCCATGATGTATGCTAAATCCTATGCAGTTCGTAGCAAAGGCGGCTTGATTGGTGCTATAAACACTATTTCCATTTCAAATTGGACACTGTTCAGAATGTGAAAGAAAAAATATGAAATATGAAATAGAAAATATGAAATATTTAAAAAAATATGTAGTAAAATATAAAACATATAAAATATGAAATATCAAAATACGATGGTTTTATTATCACTTATTATACATAAAAAAGGGCGGCGGTGGCGTAGTGGCAAGTGGCGCACTATTCCAACACAAATGCGCACGGGATTCGAAATAGGATCGATACCCGCCTGAGCCAACCCGGGCCTTCATCCCTTCGGAGTCGGTAAATTAGCACCAGACTCGTTATGACAAAAACACTGGTTTGTACATCGTCTGGCCACCGCAAGCGTAGGCTCTATAAGCATTGCATTCATCACGTCAGTACGATTCTGAATGGAAGTCGATATAAATAAACGCCCCAAGACTATAGACTTACAATTAGACATTAATTGGGCAGTGCTCGGATCAGACTGAGCATTTTTCGAACTACGAAGACACCACTCAAATGGAACATTTTTTCGAAAATGCAAAACCATGAGCGATTTTATATGTAGATTTGTTGATGTCTTGAAAATGCCATGTTCGGCTATAGATGATGTGAGATTCTCTCAAAATATCCTTTGGCCCTTTTCCAGTTTCTGACCGCAGGAACAAAGAAACTCGTTTCGCTTGTGCTTCAAATCATCCTTTTCATTCCCATATCTCTCTTCTTCCTTCAGATAACATTCTAACTTTATTCAACTGCACTGCAAGTAATGAATGCTACTCCATTTTCATATAGTGATTATGCTATCCGCTACTTCTCCAGAGGCTAGTAATCCTGGCAACTAATTATGATCTTTGAGTTCACGACGATTTTGGGTAATCCAGATTACGACCAAAAATGGAAGGTAAGATGAAAAATAGTGCGATGGAGGCGAGGGAACTGCGTGGATAGGTGTTTAAAAAAGTGAAAAAAAGCTTCGAGAAATCGTTAAAACGGGGACTGGACGAGACCAGAAGAATGAAGAAGAGGGGCGCTGGACGAGCTATATAATGTGGGTTATTGCGTAAGTGTGGGTCCTGGTGCAAATAGCTGACTACGGTAAGCAAACAACTCATTCACTTATAAGCACAAGTAAACAAAACACCGAAGTGACAGCAAAAATAGCTCGCCTTTTTCAGCTTCTAGGAGTAGGAAATTAAATAAGGGATCGCGACAGCAAAAAGAGTACCAGAAGAAAAAAGATAAAAACATCGCCTCATCACACGGCGATTGGCTGATTGTGTGTGGGTCCTAGAATGAATAATTGCAATCTGTATCGCCTTGACACTCGTCTGGCGTGACATCGATCGAAAGGCGGGAGGGCCGCGCGAGCCAGTAACACGGCTTCCACTATGCCCTAACCTTCGTGTTTTTGGGCGCAAAGAGAGTCCTTTCTACTACCCTCGGGGGCCACTGAGTATTCCCAGGGGAAGAACTCAGTAACTGTTTTTATCGTGAATTGTGCCTTTGAATTTGATGGACTGATGTGAGCTTTGGTCTTTGCTGTTTCGTTAGTCGCTGTCGGCTATCATCTCACCATCAGCAGCCAAAGTGCTGCGATAGAAATTTGACCCCGTTTCTTATCGAGCTAACCTGATTATATAATAAAATCTGTACTCAACCACCCACTGGGAAATCAACTAATAACCATGGGTAATAGACTAAACGAAATAGGGCAGAGAGCATCAAAAACGCGTTCAGTTTTCATGTGGATTAGAACTTCTACTCTCGCCAACAACATCGCAGGCACTGAAGCACGCAGTGGGGGCTGCTTAACGTTAGACAAGTCAACACAAACCTAAATGCATTTTGACTAGCAGCAGTTCTGATCCAGTACCAATTATTTAGTGAGACCTTGCTGCACTAGAGTATCCCAATGGGAATCTGTAGATAGAATAATAATTTGTAGCAAACATGTATGTATCGGGAGCACTGGAATTCAAGCAGAATGAGTAGAAAAGAATTGGCGCTATTCAACTCTATAGACTTGGATGTAAGCATGGGACCCAAAATGCTGTAGTAAAAAATGAGCATATGTTCGAAAAGTAAAAATGGATCTTTCAAGAAATAGAATTTTTGCAGAATATTCACCTCCGAGATGTTTCCAAAGAAAAAATGATCGGATGTAGAGAATTCTCTGTGCGATGTCTAGCTGGAGGAGTGCTCTGAAGCGAGAAGCAGTTTTGCGTAGTAAAGCGGAAACCTGGTTTTAAACCGGCATCCCACGCCAAACGCTAGCGCTCTCGGGGTAATGGCCATAATATTGCATTGGAATTCGAGTCTATCCCGTAACTACACACTTCGAGGAACTAAAGAAACCCACATAGCAGCTGTCTCTCTTCAAAGTGCGTAGAGAATATCGCAATGTGAAGAACTTACCTCTGTCAAGAGGTCCTAAAGTTTAATTATCTTCAGCGTCTTTTTTCATCGTTAGGCAAGATCGAAAGAGTACCATTGAAGTATGTTGTGATCCCTTGTGTGCATTGGATTTGGGTCCAAACCAGTCATAATACAAGTCACTCCAGTTAAAAGGATGCACTCGCCACTCATATCTCCCCCCTAATGTTTTTTGCGGCTTGGTCAGGTCGAACGAAAGAGGGTAAAATATTGGGTTGTAACATAAGTTCGTAGAGTTTTTTCACAAAGATTTATTTGAACCAAAAAACAATAATTATAATAATAAATTAACCAATGATGTATCCTCCGTTACTGTTCACGACCTCCTCCCATCTCTCGACCAATTTGTTGATGGCGATTCGCCGAAAATCGGCCGNGGGTCCAAACCAGTCATAATACAAGTCACTCCAGTTAAAAGGATGCACTCGCCACTCATATCTCCCCCCTAATGTTTTTTGCGGCTTGGTCAGGTCGAACGAAAGAGGGTAAAATATTGGGTTGTAACATAAGTTCGTAGAGTTTTTTCACAAAGATTTATTTGAACCAAAAAACAATAATTATAATAATAAATTAACCAATGATGTATCCTCCGTTACTGTTCACGACCTCCTCCCATCTCTCGACCAATTTGTTGATGGCGATTCGCCGAAAATCGGCCGTTGTGGTGTCGAAGAACTTGTTGAGCCAGTTTTTAAGGGCCCTCTTCGCCATCGAAGGTAACATCCCTCATTGGGGTTAACATAGAGCGGGAAAGGTGATAGTCGGCAGGTGCAAGATCCGGAGAGTGCGGTGGATGCTGAAGAACCCCCCATTCAAGCTCTTGGAGTGCTGTTTTGACGACTTGAGCAATATGGGGCCTGGTGTTGTCGTGGAGCAAGATGACTTGACCACCTCTATAAGGTCTTTTCAGCCGAATAGCCTCATTTACACTGTTAAGCTGGGTAATGTAGACCTCCTTGTTAACAGCGGCGTTTCGTTCGAGCAGTTTCCCAGTGCACAATGCCTACCCAGTCCCACCAAACGCAGATCATCACCTTTTTTTGGGTGAAGATTTTGCTTGACACTCGGCTTTGGCGCCTTCTCTGGGGCCACCCACACCTTTCAGTAGACACACCTAAGACACCTTCCCCGTACACACTGAATATGTCCCTAACGGTTTCGGCCGCTTTTTTGACCTCGACGAGAAGCAAAGAAAAGCAGATCTCGAAAATGCTAATTTTTTCTTCCTGGATATTCCATTTCTGAGCCCGAAAAAAGACGAACAATTTAACTATCCTAAAAACGAATAAAACAGTTTTGTAGAGGAGAAAGAGCTCTTTCAAATGGATGTATACATTTTGTTAAAAAACAAAATAAATCGTTGTAAAATAACTCTAACGCAAAACTCTACGAACTTATGTTACAACCCAATACCTATGAAATGCTCTTCACCCTACACTCGTTCCACTTCCCTGCTTGACTCTCGACAAGTTGTATTTTTGAGATAGGAAGGGGCACGGATAAATTAAATGAGTTCTCAATAAATTTTAATCCAACATTGTTGTTCCTTCTTTTTAGGTGGCAGCTAAGCCGTCAGTGTATCCTGCCGACCCAAATCGAATCGTAGCCAAATACTGTAGAGTGCTCAAAATGAGAACGGTACGAACTTACATGCTACCAGTAATTCCAGTTTTGTTGGACTCTCTCAGCCGCTGCAACTACATCAAAGATTACGTGCACGTCCTGAAGTCCTTTCTAAATTTCAAAAAAAAAACGAAATCCCACCGCGACATCTGTGATAATTTTTTTGGTGGTGGAAACTGGAAAGAGTAATGTGCTTTGCTCAGCTTCCCTAACCCTAAGGAGTTGGAACCAGCGACGGATAAGGACTGACTGAATAAGTATCAAACGCACAAGACAGATTTTAAGGCAGCTGGTGAGAAATTTCACCGAACCTTGAGGGATGAGTCCGCCTGTAAAAAGTTGGGTTGAACGCAACTGAGTTCATAGAACTTCTCGGAAAAAGAGCGTCAACGAGAGTGCACAAATGAGCGCTTCAAATTTTATTTTGCTAGTTTTTATTTATTTTTTTTTATTTTCGACGCCTCTTCTTACAAGGGAAGGATCCCAAGTCGAAGTGGCCATTTGAAATGAGACCTATACTGCTAGGCTTATTTTTTGATGCTGATTTCAAATCTGCATTCAAAATCTGCCAAACGATTCTCTGAACGAATTTATGGAGGTGGTCTCCGAAGAGCGCTCAACAGGGGAAACACAAAAGCCATGGTCGCCGGCTTTCCAGCGGTGGTGGCTTGGAGTGGAGGCAAGCGTGATGCTTCATAGGCACGGAACCATGGATCGGGTTTTATGGGCGACGGCGTTTTTGCATCTTGCAGAACTTTTCCTCCAAGTTGGAAAAACCTTTTTATGTTAGTTTTGCCGCCTTCAGCGACTTTTTAGTTGGTGGAGGCGAGTCAGTTCCTACTTAAACCGTCTGACACCTACTCCAACCACCAACATTATAAAAATTCTATTCTTATTGTTATGCATTTCAAATTCACTGTAGGATAACTTTTACCTATTATAAGCGAATTCTATAATCTAGCACGAAGTGTTCAGAACAAAAAAGTCTGTCACAATTAGCGCAATGAATGAAAAAAATTCACTTTTCTGATAGCGCTTTCCATCTGGATTTGTTTGTTATCTTGCTCTAACCAATGCTCTAGGAAGAAGAACCTGCACCTGCCCTTTGGACACTTCCACATTACCGATCATCAACGACCCTCTAGACGTGCTTGCTGTTTCCTCTTCATCATCCGGTTCCCACAGTGGATCGGCATCCTCGTCCTCAATCACGCAGTCTTCTTCGTCCTCAATATCGAGGTCTCCGTAAAAGGAATTCCGAAGTTACAGGAGAAACTATCTATCAACTTGTGCTTCTTCCTTGTAAGGATATCACAGTATCCAAAATACCCCTTGTTCTTCAGTGTTACATCCATCCTTATATACCATACTTTGCCGCGTTTGCCACATGGCAACCCTTACCTTTATTGAAAACTGACCACAATCCCCCACCTTCTTCAGAAACCAATCGATAACAGTGGAAGACGGTTTAACCAGAAATTGACTCGCCTCCAGCCACTAAAAAGTCGCTGAAGGCGGTAAAATTTACATAGGAGGATTTTTACAACCTTGAGGAAAAAGTTCTGCAAGATGCAAAATTGTCGCCGCCCACCAAACCCGACCTTTGGTCCCGTGCTTGTGAAGCGTCACGCTTACCTCCATTCCAAGCCGCCACTCCGAAGTTGCCGGCGGCCATGGCTTTTGTGCTTTCCCCTCTTGAGCGNTATATACCATACTTTGCCGCGTTTGCCACATGGCAACCCTTACCTTTATTGAAAACTGACCACAATCCCCCACCTTCTTCAGAAACCAATCGATAACAGTGGAAGACGGTTTAACCAGAAATTGACTCGCCTCCAGCCACTAAAAAGTCGCTGAAGGCGGTAAAATTTACATAGGAGGATTTTTACAACCTTGAGGAAAAAGTTCTGCAAGATGCAAAATTGTCGCCGCCCACCAAACCCGACCTTTGGTCCCGTGCTTGTGAAGCGTCACGCTTACCTCCATTCCAAGCCGCCACTCCGAAGTTGCCGGCGGCCATGGCTTTTGTGCTTTCCCCTCTTGAGCGCTCCCCGGAGACCACCTCCATAACTTCGTTCAGAGAATCGTTTGGCAGATTTTGAATGCAGATTTGAAATCAGCATCAAAAAATACGTCTAGCAGTGTAGGTCTCATTTCAAATGGCCACTTCGACTTGGGATCCTTTTCTTGTTAGTCGGCTGCCTCTATTTTCTGAACTTCATATTTCAGACTCGCCTGTTGCTTTTATTTGTTCTCTTATTTTACTGGGCAGCCTCGCTTTACGGTTGCTTCAAAATGGAGATACGCATGGATACTACGAATCTCATAATAAAAGGGAGCCCTCTACACAACGTTGCTTACATTTACGAAAACTTTCTCTGGAAGGAAGGACAGCTGGTAAGATTTCATCTATTTCTCGATAATTCAATTCTATTACACGCTAGATACACCGTTTCGAAGGTCAAAAATAGAAAGTCTCATTCAAACGAACAAACATTAAAAAAGGGAAGGTGTAACAAAACACGTTGTTTAATTCGCATACAGCTCGGTTAGAAATGCTTCTATTGAATGGTTATTATCTCATTCAGTTTCGCAAAAGAAGTAGAACATAAGAAAACTGAAATTCAGCGTTATGCAGTACAGTTGAGACCTTTTTTAAACAAAGATTTTCAAAAACTAAAAGCGGCTGCGCCGGTCTCGGCAACAGGAGGGCAGTATATTGTCTGATGTTAAGGTCATGGTTTTCGTGAACAACCCTCCAGATCTCTCAATCGAAGATAATCAACGGAGTATGCTCGCCTTGGTCAGCGAATTCGAAGCTTTGCAATATTCAATGGGGAAGAATTCCACGTCTTTCTGGCTCCGCTCGTTTTTGTACCAGTCGGCTCTTTACCACACCAATGAAGGATTCTATGCTCTGTTGGACATTTGGCTTCAGGTACGGCTTTCTTCCGCTAAAAAATCGCTTTCCAGTTGTTTTCTTTTTGTTTTAAAGAAATAGCTCGATTATAACTAGATATTCATTTTCACATGTGTAAGTAATTCAGTGATAATATGCTATGCTTATTTACTGATTTTTAACTACAGCAGGTTTATATGCCGATGTTTACGTAAAAGTTTGTGATGAGTAACTCCTTTAGGACAAGGAGAACGGTGGCCCGAGATGGAATGACATGGTGCGGTTGCGGCGTAACATGACTGGATCAGTTGTCGGAGTGGATAAGTAACTTTTGAGCAATCATCTTTGTTTGTGTATTGAACCACAATCTTTCATTCGAGCTGTCATTGCTGTCCATTCAACTGAGCGCTCCTGAACCTCAAGCGTGAGAGCTTTTTGTGAATAGCTTACGTAACAGATAAGAGATATGAGTGTTTTTTGACATATTCAATCTCGTTCGTAGATACGCCCACCGCATTCGACATGCACTCACAAACATAGTGGTTTCGAGTACTTGGCCAGGGCATCGACTAGCTGGTCAACCATGTGTATTTCATTGCCTTTATATTCACCCGTGAGTCTGGTGCCAATTGAAAGAATTGGAGGGATCTGAGATTTGGCGGGTCCTAGCGGATCGATCTCGGGTATGATTACCGTTCCAAGTGTGATAGTGCATCTCTCGGCTTCACCTTGGCAGTTTGTACATGTTTATGACACTATAAGGGTTGGATCAGAGAACTTCGGGAACAACTCTTGGAGTTTGACGCTGATCTTTTTGTTCTATTCCTTGCGACTTGAGATAGTGTCCTAAGATGGTATATCATGTCGCTTTTCGGATTTAATCAGCTACGAAAGCTGGTTGTCGACGGAGTAAGGTTGGGAATGTGGAATGGAGTTTTGTTTACCTGAAAGGAGAAACAAGGAAGCTGTCACATATAAAGAGTTCTTTATGTGATGCTCTAGGACCGCTTCTAGTGACGCTTGTTTCTTATCACGCAGCTTCCCAGTTCTCTGTGAAAGACTATTATTCAGATTCATGTTTGCTACAGCTGTGGCCATGGGTGAGGACGCGAGCTGGAGTACCAGGGCTCGCCTGCAGCACTCCTGGAGAGCCCTTGCAAAACGCAACGAACAATATAACGTCACTATATTTCAGGTTCGAAAAGTAATTCTATCTACCACACTTTTTCATTCTATTGTTTTAAGATGTATTCATTCTACGTCGACCAGTTGGACTCAATTGGTAGCAACACTATTTCAACAGTGATTGTCGCTGCTATCACGATGGATCTAGCATGTTTTTTGATGATACCCCACGCTAGTTCAATTATATCAAGGTAACAAGTAGTACTCTCTTGTTACTCACTAAGTCTGTTGAATATATGAATATTTCTAGCACAATTGCAATGATATCTATAAATGTGGGTGTCTTCGGATTGCTTTCTCTCTGGGATGTCAATCTGGATCCGATATCGATGTGTACAACTTTGATGAGTATAGGCTTTTCTGTCGATTTCACGGGTACCGTATTTCTCTTTTTTCTTCATCGTGAAGCAACACTACGAAAATGAATGCCACTACAGCTAATTTTCGGTTTTCAAATCGAGAGCAACCTGTCAGCCGATGGGCGATTAGCACCGATTTCGATTACTATTTGAAAATTCCTGAGTGCTGCATATCCTACGATTTTTATCGTAGACCTGTGACTTCGGTTTTCGAAAATTGTAGATTTATTTCAGCCCATATAAGTTACCACTTTTACCGGAACCCAGCCTCGTGGACAACAGATGAACGGTTGGCGGATGCTTTGAGGTCAGAAATCTTTATAGAAGTCGGTTGCTGCGTGGATTTTTGCTGCAACTCGCAGCGAAACATTAGCAACAACCTTTTCCACGAAAAATTGCATATTTTAGTGAAGACCCTTACTAGCAATCATGGGACTTTGTGATCCTGTAACGGCTGTGATTTCGGGGAATTTAGAAAGTTTCACTGGTCTGTTTTCGAGAACTTGTCACAGGGTTTGTAAATAGGGCATCCTCTTGCATGATTGCAAGGCCTTCTTCCCTTCCGACTTCGGAAGAACGCGATTCTGGAGAAACTTCAGCCTAGCAAAGCCAATATGCGAAAGTGGTCAAGAGTTCACGAAAATAACTCAGAAACCAGCAAAACGAAACATCGCAATTGTCGAGGTTCATACAGTGCCGAACCTGGAAGTTAGAAGGTCTTGTATGCATCGTACAGTATTTGCAGCTTAGAATCCTCGAGGCTTTACGTCGACTTTCTCTCTTTGCGAATTCATCGGCAAAGCTTAGTGCACAGAGTTACTGTGGGGAGCGGCTTGCAGTGATGTCGCAGTGCAGAACCCTTATATATGTGGTCATCAGACTACAATGTGTTTATCGTACAGGACTGTTGCACATCGTAGACAGCTAATTCATTTGCTCCCAGACACTGGGTCGCTTTAGTAAATATTGATGAAAATGTAGTTCGGGGAGGGGGCCACACATAAGAATGTAGGAAATAAAATGACATTAGTGTGTCTGTGTTATACTAGCACCGTAACAGAGACGAAGAGGAGGATGTGCGCCGGCCACTTCTGTGGTTTGAGCCAGAGCGATGTAGTGAACTAAGTCTCAAGGGTGTAGAAGCACCGGAGTGAGTAATATGATTACCCCTGAAAGCTATAGCCATGGATTACCACAGAAGAATCCGAAGTCGAAGTGGCCTGCTGAAATGAGATGTATAGTGGTAGACGTGTTTTCGGATGCTGATCTCAAGTCTGCTTTCCATATTTGTTTAGCGATTCTCTGAATGGAGTTATACGGTGAGTTCCGGTGAGGCTTAACATTGGTATGGGTACATACGTGCGTCCGAGGATGCGCGCGGCAAATTGCGCGGCGAAGTGCGTGGTGATTCGCACGACTCTGGCGCCTATCATTGGGGCTCAAATTTGAAATACAGT